GCACATCTTACATGAAAAAAATATCCCATCACAAACTAGGGAACCATTACCATTGTCTTTCAAATCTGAAATTATATCATTGACAGCCACTTCATTTGAACTAGCATTATCCAAAGTCAGAGCAAACAGTCTATTTTCAATGTACCATTTAACCATAACTTCAGTGAATGTTTCAGACAACTTTGCACCAGTATGTCTACCTTTTACATAGAAAAAACCAATAATTCTCTTTTGCATATGCCAATTATCATCTATCCAATGAATAGTAACACACATGTACCCTTTGTTTTGGCATGAGGTCCACATATCCATTGTTGCACTAAAGCGGCACTTCATAGTCTTCAAGTATGCATACAAAATTTCCTTTTCTTCAAGATATCTGTCCATTATTTCTTTCCTAACAGTGACACGGGATTTTATCGGAAAGCTAGGACGGAGAGATTTGATGAAATCAACCAAATACTCATGCTCAACTATATTGAAAGGATATTCGTGCATGATTATTGCCAAATTTAATTTCTTCAAGCTAGCTTCTTGGTCAAATCTGTAAGGCTGAACATGAGCAATTTCAGAACCAGGGTTCTTACCAACTTTAAGTTGTTGTTGTCCCTTCACAATACTGTGTTTTGAAAGTAAATGGTGCTTGAATGAAGTTGTGCCATTGATGCCCTCTGCTCTGTATTTCTGCTCACACCTAGAGAAATTGCAGTGTCCCCACAACTCCTCAACTAGCTTTCCTTCCACCTCTACATACTCTTTTTTCTTGGTGAAATAACTCCAGACCCACGATGTCAATTTCTTAAACCTCTTGCCAGAAAGGCGAGCCTGCTCATCATCCTCTTGTTCATCATTGTCGACATTAATTGGCACTTGAACCTGCTCTGTTGCATCACTCTGAACTGATGCTGCCACTGATCCTAGCACTGATGCTACTGTAGCTGGACTTTCACAAGTTCCACTAGATGCAACACTTTGAGATGCTTCCCTTCTACTCCCTGGTCCTACCAACAGCCAAGTGAAACATTGCTAAATTAGAAAAAAAAAAAATATAAAATAGCCAAATAATCTAGCAAAAAGATACACGGACGACAAATCACCTTAACATCTATTGGTAGGGTGCAGGTTACTAACATAACAGCATGGGATAGGCATGCAAATAGCAACACATACATTAATTTGGAACCTGGTAAGCTCACTTAAAGCAGTCCAATACTAAAATTAAACTTGTTTAAAATGTATAACTTCAAATACTAGTTTTTTTAGTGTTCCATCCCGTAAGGTCATTTGAAAGCAAATTTAATATGATAATATGCACACCACTTTGAGGTCAAGTAACAGCTGTTACAGTTTTGTATTTAGGGTTGAAACTGAATAATAAGCCTTCAATAGAGGAAAACAATTTAACAATTTAACAATGAGGCAATATGAAGACACACTTTTAAATAGAAGCACTACCAATCCTCCAGATTAAAAGATTATATAGCCGCATTGAGTAAAAAATAACATTTTAATCACAGGTTGTGAGATAACAACTGAACAAGAGTTACACAGTCTCTATATAATACATTAGGGATTCCTTTGTTGAACAAAATGAAGCAATTGAATGTAAAAGTGGCATTCTGGAGAAGTTCTCAAAGTACGAAGAACAACCGAATATTTTAATTTGCTCCCTCATGGCCTCACCAATTTCTTAAAGACGGTCACTTCTTCGCACAAACTTTGAGATTGCCATGGGTTCATAATACAGAAATAGAAGTTAACCTAACGGTTCCACAGGTTACTTGGACTTCAGCAATTTTTAAGAGAAATAGGAGGAAAAAAAAAAGAATCATTTTCAATTTTATATGTATGATTCATGTTTGTACAAGTCACGAAACAATACAATTCAAGCCAATAGATTGTTCATAAACAATACTAACAATACAATTCAAGCCAATAGATTGTTCATAAACAATACTGAATAAGCCTGATGAATTCAGTGGTAGGAAGACGAACCTGCTGTTGGAGACGTCGTTGCTGCCTGTACGGGCGGCGGCTCTAGAAGGCTACGTACACTCTTCATCTTGGGCTTGCTCCCCTTGCCCCCCTTCGTTCCAGGAGCAGAAGCACGATCTCCAGCGGGTACCATCGACGCGCGGGGTGGGGAGTGACGACCGGTGGCCGGCGGGGTGGGGAATGGCGACCGGCGGGGTGGGGAATGGCGACCGGCGAGGTGGGGAATGGCAGGCACGGCGCGAGCCTTGGAAGAAAGGAACGGAGAAGGCAAGTGAGGGAATACGGGAGTGGAGGGTTGTCAACTTGGGCTGGGCTGTAAGTTGGCTACTGGGCCATGTGTGAATTGTGATGTGAGTCATGAGACCTGTAGGGAATAAGGGAATATTGGACCAAATTCGAAACCTTCCGAATTTTAAATACGGTTACATACCGAATATAATATAGAAATGTAGAAATTGGTCGAAAAAGGCCCATATCGAATTCCGCTCTGTTTTCGAATTTTCTGTTCGAATTTCGAACCGAATTCGAATTATTCCGAAAAAAGTGAAAAACGATCGGGTCAAATGTAGAAAACGATGCGATTCGGTCGGGAAATTTCGTTTTCGTTTTCAACCCTACTTGTGATGTCTTAAACGAAACCTAAAAATTATTAGTTTTTTAAGTAATTATATCCAATTTGTTCAGAAAAAGTCCATGGTGAAAAAACGAAAATTTCATCATAGTTTTTGTCACCCACCAAGTCACCTTACCTACATTTGGGCATAAGTAACATTTTGAAAAGAGTCCATTTTGTGAAAAGCTCCTTTAATGCTCATGGTCATTGTGCTAAATTTCTAAGCCTATAGAGTTTGGTCTAAAACTTTACTTTTTACCAACTTGGTAAAGTCTATAAATGTACTTAGTGTTGTTAAATTAAACGAGACTGGCTCGGCTAGCCGAGCTCGAGCTCATTTAAAGCTCGTTTGCTTAACGAGCCGAGATAAGACTCAAAAAGAGATTTTTATATAATTTTCTATAATTTGCCTCGTTAAAGTTCGAGATCCGCTCGTTAAGGCTCGAACTAGACTCGTTAATAGTGATAAATGAGTCGAGCTTGAGTTCGATTTCTAGCTCATGTATTTAATAAATCGAGCTCAACTCCGCTCGATTACAGGCCTAAATGTACTCATATTTCTCTTGAAGTTTGTACTAAATCATAGATGCCCAACCCGCTGATTTCGGGTAGGACCAACGAGTTGAGGGTTTATAAATCCTTGAACCATAAATAGCCGAATGTTTTGCGGTTTTGGTTTTAGAAATATCGTGTTCGATATCAGTTTGAAACCACCAAATTTAATTTGGTCCGCCAACTCGGGTCGTGTTGATCGACTCATTGGACCTATGGCTGCAAACGAGTCGAGTCAAGTCAAGCATTGGACCTATCGAGCATGATTGACTTTTTTTTTAGCTGCTCGAGCTTGAGCTCGATTTTTTAGGCTCGATCTTGACTTAATAAAAATATACAATAGCTCGAGCTCGACTCGAATTTAAAATGCTCGAGCTCGGCTCGAGTTCGGTTCGAAAATGTTCAAGCAATTTTTGTAAAATTACGTTTAAGTGCATATGTTAATATTATATACATATTAATATAAAGAGTATCTTAATAGTTTAACATATATCTCGAGCCGCTCGACAATGCAAAATATGACCTCGAACTCGACTCGAGTTCGTGATCGAGCCGCTCGATATTGCAAAATATGGCTTCGAGCTCGAATCGAGTTCGTGCTTGAGCTGCTCGAGTCTGGTCAAACTCGAGCTGAGCTTTGACTCGAGCGCTCGCGAGCTGCTCGATTCTTGAGCAGCCCTAATTGGGCTGAATGAACCTCAGCTATTGGTCTTGCAACGACTACACGATTTAATAGACAATATCAAAACTATAGTTGTTGGAAACCCAAATCGACCACCCAATTCCAAATCTGACCCAACTCAGGCCGAAACAAGCTCAAAAATTCAATATTTAATCTTATTCAGAAATACAATGGTAAACCTGACAGGCCTAGTTAGTTCAAGACAAGGCTCGAACCCACCGAGTCAAAAATTATTTTTACTTGAACCGAAATCAAGTCGTATTATACACGTGTCCGGTGTTGACCCGTTGGGCTTTCGGATTGACCCTAACCGGTGGGCATATCCACTTATCCTAGGAATTGAGTTATATTAAATTCGAAGCACTTTTCTTGAATAAAAGAATGCTCAAAGCCCGAAAAGAAGCATTAACCCACGAATTAGCTGAAATGTTTTGTTGCAAATGGAATTATCCCAAACAAAAGTTCCTTAAACTTGGCTTCCTTGACTAGAAGTCTAAAGACACACAGTCCTAATTGGCCCATGAAGTATTTCTAAATTGCTCATCAGCCAAACATATTGTTGTTCTGTTTAAAAATTAAATACACAAGAAAGGTAGAAACTTTAGACTTAGCCGCATTTTCAAACCCAAAATCTATGATTATAAATAGTACTCAAGCAATTTAAACTCGTGTTCCTTCCACATTCATAATAATAATAATAATAATAATAATAATAATAATAATAATAATAATAATAAATAATAAAATAAATCCGAGCAAACATAATTTGAGTCAAAGTCCCCAATGGTTTCGAGCCAAAAAAGGCCTCGAGAAATTCGTTCATTTGTGCTTTGCTTCTTTAAAAAAATCGTTCAATTCTTTTTATTAGTAACAATAAATCAAAACACACGAGGTGTTCTGGGAATAGAGCTCACTTGTAAACAGCCTTTAATTTATATACTATATAATAAGGATATGATCTTCATATTTCTAATTCTACCTTAACAATCCAGCTTACTTTTAGTAGTTAAAACTGTTAAATATTTATTATTATAGAAAGTCGACCGAATTAGTACTCGCATTTCGGATTTTTGTTTAATTATTATTATTATTATTTTTTTCCTCTTGTTTATTATTTTGGCCTTGTTTTGAAAATTTATGTGTGAAGTTGTGGAGACAATGAGGGACGATGGAAACTCAAAGAAAAGCAAGGTTTGTATGATTTTATATATATATATTATATAGAAATTGATAAAAGATTTGCATTGCTGATATGTTTTGCTTCAAGGTTTATGACTTTATATATATTACTATTACTATTAAAGCTTTCATGGCCTAAGACAATAGTGAAGAAATGGTTTAAAATCCAGAGCAAAGATGGCGATTTTTGCGCCGATGGCAACGTTTATGAAGGTAGTTCAATCTCTGTAAACGTATATCTCGTCAAATTTATGAATATAACAAGAAAAATGGGATTCTTTTTCTTTTTATATTTTTCTTTCTTTTGAGTTCTTGATGGTTTTCAGATTGAAAATTATCATTTTCTTGATGAATTTGATAAATTTCACTCTTTTATTGCTTTGTGTTGAAAAAAATGTAAGTGCTCTGTAGTGAGAGTAATTGGCACATCTTTAAATACTTTTTGAGTGCTTAATTACCTTCTTTAATATTTTTTTTTTTTTTTTTT